GATTTAGTAATTGTTCTCTTGATACCAAATGTTGTATTTTTCGTTCTTATTGTACTAATTTATATGGCATTAATTTATGGTGTAACTTCAGAGGTAAAACCATTCAGGACTTACAAGTTTGTTATAACAATTCACTTAGGATGTTGTTACATAAACCCAAGCACTGCAGTGCTAGTGGTATGTTTGTCTCTGTTGGTATTCCTTCATTTTATGAATTAATGAGGAAATGTGCATATAGTTTTTGAAGTCGGTTAATCAACTCGGGTAATAGCCTTGTTCGACTCATTATGTTTGATTTATTTAAGTGCTCTTTTTTATATAGAAAATGGAGTGAGCTATTATTTTAGCTAATTTAGGTCTGTTTTTAGACCCTTTTCCTTTTTATTTAATATATTATACCTGTAACCACTATGAACTTCTTGTCTGAAATAAAAGAAATGAAATATATATATTGTGTGATATGGCTTGCCACCGATTTTAGTATTACGAGCGCTTTTAATCTGCCTTGTTACAAGCTTGCTTGTTTCATAACTAATGTTCAATCTCAAATTTATCTGAGCTGGATGAGTCTAGTAAAGGACGAAACAACGTTGTATGCAGATTGATTTAACTAACTAAATGTTTTATGGTAATAGTATTGTATTATGAAAATGTATTGTTTTTGTGATATGGCTTGCCACCGATTTTGATATTTTGATACTATTTTTTGTTAATTGTCATTAAATTGTAGTCATATTTTGATACCAAAACTTATAGGGCCATAATAGACTGTAGTAGGCCTACTGATTGTAGGCCTAACCAATTCAGATGTGTTGTGCGATAGCATTTTTCAATAAAGGTATACATATATCTTGAGAATTACGAAATGTATCGAAACTATAATCGATGACAGTCGGAACAATCCCCGGGAACAAACCGAACCAAGAATGATTTTACTTCCTGTCTGTAACAATTAAAATTAATGTTATAGTAGATACTATGGAACGCCATTATTGCCTTTTCAGGTGCATTCGTCATTACTTCTGAATCCTGATGAGTTGTTAATCTCAGATAAGAAAGTATAATACATACTCCAAGTATTGAAATGCTTCGACATTAATTATGTCATCATCAGATAAGTTGTTAGATATAAATTATTTTTGTATGTAATCCTGAATACTTTGGTCAAAATATGACAAATTTCCTGAAATTATTCTAAATTTTTATTTTTCATCTTCCCTACATAAATTTATCATGTATACTTATTTCTTATATAAAATAGTCAACGGCTCATGGTCAGCGGCTTCATGGTTGGACAGATTCAAATAACCGCCAACTACATTGTATTACACAAAGATGGTGCACCTCAAGAGGGCGTTAAGTACGCTGAAAATAAATATAAAATAAACATATAATAATAATCAAGATTATTATTATTATTATTATTTTATATAAGTATAGGTGTATTTTTTAAGAAAGGGTTTTGCGGTGGGCGGAGATATGCTCTCTACTGAGTGCTCTTGTTATTATTCTTATTATTA